CTTATTCCCATCGACTTTGAAAGGCATGTTGCCATTGGTCTCAGTGGGAGCAAAATCAGATTCAGAGAATTCTAGTATGAATTTGCTGTTTTGCAGTCTCAAATTTCCTTTGAAAAGCCAAATCGTAAAAATGTGTGTGAAGCAATTACCTCCCACATTTCAGATCTTTAAGTAAAAATTGCACATAAGGAACATATCGTATGCCAGGCTTATTACAGGAGGGGTTTGTTATATATTTTTTTTAATCCTGAAATACATTCGATATTTGCATATTTCTAGACAAAAGTGTAACAAAAATGACAGATTGGTCACCAATGGAACCAACATATTGTGTAGATGATGTTTTTGTGTTAGTAAAAGTCTACTCATTTTCTCTCTGCTCCAAAGTTTACTATGCAGCGTCGGATGAGTGCAAACACCAAACATACCTTCCTGGAGTCATTCTTGCATTGTTTGCAGTGTACTCATTCAAAACCAGCAGGGTGAATCTCATAAATGAGACATTGAAAGGTGGTTTATCCTGTGTCTCACATTTATGCCGATAAGGCATTTTCGTTTTCTCCAAATCCTAAAAGGTGCTGAAAGATTTTAACTTGAATTAAAACCAAAGAGTATGTTATTGGGAGGTTTTTATTATGCAACTAAATGCTACAGATACAGTGAAATGCCACTCATTTTTGCAACTTTTTGGAAGGTTTTTCATTATTTCCTTCACTTTTCTTCCAAGAGTCTTAATTTCAGTAACTTCGCATCTTTATCTGAAGAGCTCTAATTTATAATATTCAGGCACTAGCTTTGTATTCTTCATTGCACTTTCATATTCTTGTGTTACATGCCCGTATTATGGTTGCAAGTTTATGTGAAAATGACTTGAATAAAATGTTTCAAGCGTTCTACTTGTCGAAGTATTATACTTAATGCATAGGCCAGATCCATCTCTCAAAAAGAAAGCTTCAATAAAAGTTGCTATATCTATATAAAAATGCCGAAGATTCTGTCATGCTGACATGGTCTCAGTCACAAGTTAGAAAGAAAAAAGAAAAAGTTGCAAGACATGATAAATTACCTCCCACACTACACAAAGGCGTAATGTGAAGGCATAGCAGGATGAGGTATGGTTCATCTGGACACAAGATTTCCAGAATAGAAATAGGAACTTCGAAACCACTTTCAGAATTTCTATTCCAAAAACTTTAACGGAAATAACACTTGAGCAGTCCATTGTAGAAAGTTTATGTACTCTAGAATTGACTAACCCATTTAACACTCAGTTACTCCAAAAACATTTTATCCTTTCATTATTTACATTGTCTGAATACAAACCAACGTCCTGCTGCCTCTTCAGTCTATATGCTAAATTGATGAAATAGGCTGAATTGTGAAGTATCTCTTGTCCCTTCACTGGGGGATTAATACAGAAAAGCATAGTTGAAAACTTTGGAATGTTCACACTAGTAAGAGGTTATCACACACTTAAATATAAACTAATGGCAGTCTTGGCTCTGAGTAAATGCAGACAAAAAGGAGGTAGTATCTTTTAAAATTCATAAAAGTAGAATTATTTCAGATATAAAAAAAATGTTGTGATGATATTTCTATAACTATTTAACAAAGTTATTCCTATACTACAATGTATTAGAGCTTAAAAGTGAGAATTCCTGCAAGTGGTACCCCTAGAGCGCAGAACCTGGTGTGGATCAAAATCCATGCAAATACAGAAATGCAGTCAAAACTGCATACGATTATTGCAGAAAGTATATTAAAATTTATCAAAAATAAAGCATCCCCTAGTTACTAAGTATCTTCTACCTGCTATCCTACCATCTCATTTTCACATTAGATCACCTGCCTTCTATTGCAAAATGATCACCAGTCTACAATTAGAAAGCAGTCCAGTATTTTCAGTTAAGAAAGTACTACTGTAACTGAATTTTCATTCAAGCCCTATTTCTCCTGATCTAATCAGTCCATAGAAACTGATGAAAGTGATATTTATGCCTGTTTGGAAATCTTCAAACTGGTCCTTCAACTGGTCCTTAAGAAAGTACACCTGTCTTTCTTTTTTGAAAAAAATCACACTTGAACTAATGTTGACTCTCTGAAAAAATACTTGAAAAATGTGAGATTGTTTTGAATTGATTTTGTTTGAAGTGAAAAAACTCTGCACCTGAAGCAGTCTAGTAGTGTCTGACAGTATGTACCCTAAGAACATTTCTTCTATGGTATGTTACTGAATAGTTCTCAATGTTTTTTAAATCTAATAATCACAGAATGAAATAACTTTCCATGTCACTATAAAAATAAATTGGTAGTACTTAGTAAGAGGTCTCTGTCTAAACAGCATTAGAGACACAAATTATGTTAAAATCACATATATACTGAAAGTGTTATGTTGTTATAACGAGAAGAAAATGTTCTGAACTTTATCAACAACCTCCAGGCAAGTTCATTTGGTTTATCAGTTCCCAAAAAATTGCCCAGTTGCACATAAAAAGTATTATCAAGTCTCAACCATCGGTACTCATTTGTATGGTGCATTGAGGCTGTGATCCAGGCGAGCCACTAAACACCAGCTAACAGTAGTAACACATTAAAATATGAAGCAATGCCAGTAGCCTAATCTCTCTTCTCTCATTCACACTCAGTGTATGTTATCTTTTTCTTTTCTTTAAAGTAAGAACTCAGATGTGTTTTTGAAGACATTAAAAAAAAAAAAAAAAAGATGTTTTGATAAGTCAGGCTTCCTTCAGGAAGAATTCTATGGCCACAAATTACAGCTGTAAGAATGGAGTAAGAAACTTGCTCAAATGCCAAGGTAAACCAATGCCCCTAGATCTCTAAGCACATGCAAAAAAGCACTTTAGAACATACACTTTAGAACATACACTCCTTAAAAAGTATGTTTTTTCCAAACTATTTGCAATCTTTAATTTCTTTGGTCTTTAATGTGAATCAGCTCTTAAAACAGTGTGCTTATCTGCTAAAAGAAAGATAAGCTGTCTGTGAAAAAACTGTATTATAGCTGATGACATCTAGCTAAAGAAATTTTTCTTGCCTTTTACTGGAACCAGAGAAGTCACATACCGTACATCTGTTTGGTGTAGCATTCAGCTAGTATTTCTTTAAAGCATTAAGGATAAGAATTTGCATCTGGAAAACTTAAAGAGTTTGTATATAACAGGTAAATGCATGGCTTTTTCTAAAAAGCATGATCCATTCCCACAGTAGACATGTTTCCATTTTTTATTTTGATGCTTCTTGCCTTAAATGTCGTTCCATATGCTATACTGAAAATAACAACAACAACAAAAAAAAGATTAATGGAAATGGAAGGCTATTTGAATTTCTAATTCTGAGCAGCAATGTCATTCATGAAGATAGTAGAAAAGAAAGCCTGAGTGGGGCAAAGACATGCCAAGATAATAATACAAAATGAACCAACTAGAATGTTTAGCCTTTGAGAATTTAAGACAGGATGGGAGAATAGACAGAAATTGACGGGCTATAAATGTTAAGATACAAAGTCTGCAGAACACATAGAGAGAGGTGGCCATACCAGCAACAGAGTACCAGTACATTATAAAAACTAAACTTCTTCCTGACCTTTGACTCTAATGTGGACTTATGTGAGGTATTACACAGTGACTATGTGACTTAGACACATCCAGTGACTCCCCTGTGGAGCCGTTAATGGTTAGGGAGTCACTGTGTGACTCAATCCTAAGTATACAAACCACAAGGAGTAGATGAGGTAGGAAGAGACTTGGAATATCATTTAGCTGAAACCCACTGTCCAAGCCGTGCCCCCTCAAGATGGCTACTCAGGACTGTGTCCAGTCAGGTTCTGAGTATCTCCAGAGATGGAAACTCCACAATCCATCTAAGCGCCCTCACAGTGAAAAAGGCTTTTATTGTTTATGCAGAATTTCTTATATTTCAATCCGTTCCCACTGCATCTTGTCCCAGAGTCTGGCTTGATCTTCTTTACAGTGCTCCCTCCCTGTCTCCCCTCATATTTATGCACCTTGACAAGATCTTCTCTTCTTCTGAACAGTCCCAGCTCTCTCAGTTGCTACTTGTATGCTGTGTGCTTCACTCCCTTAATCACCTTGGTCACCCTTTGCTGCATTCATTCAGTCTGTCTTTGTCCCTCCTGTACTGGGGAGTACAGGAGGGACCCAGCACTTCAGATGGGGCCTCACCAGTGCTGAGTACCAGGGAAGGATCACCTTCCTCATCCTGCTGGCAACACTCTTTCTAATGCAGCCAGTGACGCTACTGGCCACCTTTGCTGAGACATATGAAAGACTGTTTTGTGTAAGAGTGCAATACACAGGATGGGAACCCCTTAAGGGATTACAGATTCCACAAATTTACATGGATTTAAGAACAGAGAAATTTGCAGAAAAGAAAGCCATTGAGGATTATTAAACACAGTAAGTTACAATATCACAAGACGACCTCGACCTACAAAACTGGAAGCTCAGTGAGTTGGAAGTTGGATGATATATCCCTGCGTGCTTCCTCTATCCCTACGCTTAAAGCATCCCTTTTTGACTACTGTTGAAGACACTAGGTTAGATGGAACTTTGGTCTGATGCAGCGCTATTCTTAGGCATTACAAAATTATACAGAATCTTGCACCCACTGCAGTTATTTATCAAGTTTCTGAAATAATTTGATTATGAAATATAAGTATCTTTAAACAAACAACACTGTTAAAGATTAATTACAAGTTCAGAACTTGTTTCAATTAAGCAGTAGGAAAAGCTGCTGAAGAAAAACACAATGAAGATTTCACCTCATAACCCAATGAAATGAACTCTCAAACTCAGAATGGTACTTAAATGTTTCTTAGTGTACAAAGACCTTTCAGCTTTTCAGCATTCTTTCAGAAAGTGCAAGGCAGACATGCTGGAGCACCCAGGTATATCCACCAGGATAACACTATTAAAGACACTCGCAGCTCTTCAAATCAAACTACAATCAAAGGACAGAGATCACAATTTAACAGGCCAATATTTTATTGCTCTCCAGAAATTATTATATCACACATACTACTGATCGGCTTTTCCAGTTACACGATACATTCATGAATTTGTGAAGTCTGTTCAAATTTAGGAATCTCTTTTTCTCAGTTGAGATATATTTGAAAATATAGTTTTAGGATTATCACCACAATGTTTTGTACTTTCCCCTCTCTTTTGACAACCAAGTCCTCATATTGTTTAAAATACAAAAAAAAAAAAGCCCCCCAAATCTGTACTGCTCCTACAGGGCATAACTGATGTTCCTAAAAAACACTGATTCACATTAAGGTGTATTTCATAAATGGTGACATTACATAATGGGACTTATGAACGAACACCATAGGATCATCCATTAATCAACAGACAGCACACTGGAGAAATGAAGCAATCTTCATTATTAATGGATGGCAAGTTCTAGCAGTTGCTATTTTATAGGTTGCAAAGGACAGTATAACAAAAATGTTCAAACAGCAGTTGTTACTTCCTAAGAAAATACCATGGGATGCAACTCCGCAAGGACCTTTTTTTTTTAAAAAAAAATATCTGGATTTACATATAGTCTAGTCATCAAATTTAATCTTTTTTCCTTGGAATGCTGTAATTTGAGACATTTGTTCCCGGCGTCTCCTGCTTGCTTCCCATGATGGATGAAGAGGCTGCTCCAAACGTGCTTTCTTATTGTCACATTTTATACCTGCAGCTTTTGCAAATGGTTGCTTCTTGAGTTGTGGTTCCCTTTTAAGAAGAGCTGTACAAAAATAAAACATTAACTATATTGTGAACCTTCATAAAAATATGCTAAAGCTACCTTGGGATTGCAGATATTTTCAAGATTTTCTTAACGAGCCATGGGGAACACATTCATCTGAAAGTTCACAGCAAGATTTCCTCATCTTGGCAGCCCTGTAAATTGCCACTTGGTAGACTGCAGATAGTTAAGATTTATAATCACTGACTACACTTACACTCAAAGTCTGTGTAGACACATATTCAGCACAGTGTTCTTGACAACAAACCAATGAGATATTACACAGTGTAACTGAATATGACTGAAAGGATATCCTTGATCCAAGGCATACCAAAATGGAACCATACAATATAAATGAAATAAAATATTGAGAAACTATTGAGGAATTACTCATGAAATAAACTACTTGTTAAATATATTCTGACACCTTTACCTGTGCACAGGTAAGATTGCTCAACACAAAGACAGATGGAAAAGTACTTTTCTGTATAAACCCTACTTTATTTCTAACATTCAAAAATAGGAAATAGTGAACAATATCCACAGATTAAAATGACAGCTCAATAATTTGACCATTTTAACAACTAATGTTAAAATATGTGCCATAAAATTGAAATGAAAGAAAACTTAGCCTATTATGATTAGACTGCAGATGTTTTTACTTTTACAACTTTACCATGTTAAGTTATACATACCTGCTCTTCCATTTTTGAGTGGCTGGTCTTTAGTATTTCTGAAAATAAAAAGAGAACTTAGGATTCTTCAAGAAACTTGTAAGATGACAAACAACTGTGATAAAGAATCGTTGTCATCAAAACACTCATGCAATGACTTTTCAAGAACGCCATGCAAACCCCTTATATATTGTTTCCTCTTTGTTAATAAAGAAGTAGAAATAGAAGTATTCAGCAGTGATTTAATTTGGATGCAGGTCTAGTTAGGAATCCTACGTATGTCAGAGCTAATGTGAATATGAAAATTACGTAGGTGTCAAGAAAGCATAAGAAGACTGCAGAGTAGTTTATGTGAAAATGTTCTAAGCTGTAATTGGCTGAAATTATTCTTGTTCCGTAAGGCCTACTAAAAATCAAAACAATTTCCATTATTGGGAAGGAATGGACAACATAACAAGCAGAAAAGGTTTACCTTCTTTTGTGTTGAGATTTCTCATTAGAGGTAGACAAAGAACTGCAGAACATCGATTCTAGCTTGCCTGCTTTCGCCTGTGGCTTTCCCTCTTCCATGACCAAACCTCGCACTGTTCCAGCCACTGTGTTCTTTTCTTTCTTCACTATGTTTTTATGAAGTCTATCCTTTTCTTTCGCTGAAGGAAGACCAGTGACTGCTGCTATTTTTTTCTTTCTTTTCACTTTGCCAATGAAGAAATCATCATTGCTGTCACTGTCAGAATCTGATGACTGGTTATAAAACCTCTCTTCGGTACTATCATCAAAATACTCCTCTTCATTAGGATGTTCCTGGTCACTATCATCACCCATTTTTTTTTTAATGGCATTTAATTTGTTCATGCTCATATTTTCTTTCCTTTTTTGATAGCCAAGTTTCTTCTCTGTTTTATTCCGAATGACTGCTTGCATTTCTACTGCCTGAAATGAAGATTCTTCTGGAGCATATGCTCTCTCCATTTCTACAGTTTTCTGTTCAACTTCACTCTCACAAAGTTCTTCAGCCACCCTGTCAGTTCCTCTTTTCATGCTCATTTTTGCTTTGTGTCCTTGCTGTTTTTGCACTAGTTTAAGAGCTTGGTCATTGAAATTGCTATTGCAATCTTGCGCTGATTTAGGCTTTTCTTCTGATTTAGTCTTTTTTGAAGGAGTGGCTTTGGCTGCATTCTTTCTTTCGTCCTTAAAAGCTTTTACAGCAGCTATATAAGGGGCAGAAGAAACATTTTGTTGCAGCTACACATGAATTCACGTGTTATTTTAATATAATAAAATGATTTTGCAAGTTAAATATGTTGTATAGAATAAGCATATTTTGGATGTCCTTACCAAGCATTTACTGAACACAGGGGGCAAAAAATACTTTAGAGTACAGCATCAACAAAAGTTAGGAAAAGAACTTGAAATTATTACCAACTGAATACACTGTTAAACTCAAGTTTAATTGAGAACTTCTCTTTCAGCAAATAATCTGCAGCTGATAAGCACGTTAATTTAGGGCACTACTTTGTGCATAAAAACTGCAAACAAACAGTAAATTGCTCAGATATAATTAAATGGGTATTTCACATGTTCCGTTATTGAAAAAGTAATTTTGTGACATTATTACTAGGACTTAAGCCTTTTAACATCAATTTTTAACATCAATTTTAGTTGGAAAAATTGAGTTTAAGGGGAAAAGGAGATAACCTAAAAAGTCAGGAAACATATCCTAAGGATTCTGGGGACAGTTTCCAGAGAAGTTTAAGGGAGTCATCTGCAAAACCTTTTGGTCGCCTTTGGAAACCCAGCTGTAACACTCCTTTAACCTTTGTATCTGCATGTTATTGTGCTCATTGCCAGTTCAGTCCTATTTAATTTAGAGATACTCCATTATACCCAACTGATTTTTAGAGTTCCTATTATAAGCCCTGTTTGTCCCACACCCTATATCTTAAATGTCATAAGTATTCTGTCATGTATAAGCCCATTTCTAACAATATAAATGACTACAAGCTTATGACATTTGGTTAACTGCAATTAGTTAAGGTAATTACAGGAGTTTTTTGTTGTTTTTTTAAAAATAACTTTTCTTTTTATACTGGTTGTTCATGTCAGGACTATACAGGAACAGGGTAATGCACCAGTAAGCTACTGAAGTAATGAACAAGAAAATATAATATTTCATACCTTTAAGTTCAACAAATCTGGGTTTCAAGATGGGATGTGTTGCAAGTCTTGCAATGGCTCGCTCAGTTGCTGTGCAATTTGGCTATACAACATAAATTCAAAGGCATGAAGTCAATAAAACAGTGAATATTTATTTATACAGGTCTGTATCAGTTATGCTACAATGCATAATAATGTGATTCTGGATATTAACTGAACAAGAGGAAAAGTGTTTGTGACACTATAATATTTGAATATTTCTTATTTTTCTTGTATTACCATCATCCTAAATGAGGAAAAAATTTGTCTGCTCAAACATTGACAGAAATGTAATAGACATGTAAATCTGCCGTTTCTCAGGTATTGAGTAGGGATAACATGATTTTTATTTTAAAAGCCTACCAGAGCCTACCTTTCAGAGCTAACCCACTGACTTTACATTGACTATTTGTTACATATGCAAAGCAAATGCATGAACCCTCTGAATAAAGAACATCATATTGGTAGAAGGAATTCTGCATGAAGGAGTACAGCAGCTTGCAAGAAGTAAGGATTCCATAAAAGTAGGCAAAATGACATAGCAGGTTTGAAGGAATATACATTAAATGTGGTTGAAAAACAAGGTCTAACTTGATCTTAAAGACAAACAGCCTTGGATTTGACGTGGTAGAACACTGGAACTCTGTAGACTGATTCAAAGAACAAACATGATCTTCATGCTTTAATTTGAAGAAAAAGGAGAAACATAGGAATTGCTCCCATTTCCGACTTCCCCTTTTATATCTCAGAAGTCACAAAAATGACACATTGTAAAAGCTATCTCATTTTCAGGTTCTTGTCATCACTCTGCTTGAAGAAAAAAATGAGAGGTATCTAAGACTTTTCCAAAGACAGCTTTGGCTTCCTTTTTTAAAGAGGGAAAGGAGGTGTAACAGGCCCGTAAAACACAAATTTAGCAGGAAGGATTCTTAAAGCTTGCAGTGGAATTCTTTGGGAGAAAGGAGAAAAGACACACCTTCTTCCTAATGGTACTGCAACGGATAAATCTTTAAACTGTTGCTACGTGTGATTTGAGTTACATGCTAGAGGAGGTACTACAGCAGAAGCCACCTGAGCCAACAGATAATGAGCCCTGTAATGAACTGGCCATGTGCCGTGCGACCCAACCTGAGCTGGTTTTGGTGCCCAACAACTCAAGACAACACAATGCCTCTCCTGTCCTGAGAGACCACCACAACAGATCAAGCTCAACAGATGTCCTGGCTCTGCCCTGGGATGTAGATAACTTTCTCCATAGCAGCCATGATGGTGCTGTGCTTTGAATCTGTGACTAAGAGATTTTTGAATTGGTAACACACCAATGTCTTAGTTATTGCTGAGCAGTGCTTGCACAGCATCAAGGTCTTCTCTGTTTCTCACTCTGCCCTCCCTACAAGCAGGCAGGGGGTGGGCAAGAGGCTGGGAAGGAAACATAGCTGGGACAGCTGATCCAAATTGACCAAAAGGATATTCCCTTCCATATCAAGTCGTGCTCAGCAATAAAAGCTCAAGTAAAGGAAAAGGAAGGGGGGCTGTGTGTGTGTGTGGTTAACATTTGTCTTTTAAAGTAATCGGTACATGAAATGAAATCTTGCCTTCCAGGATGTGGCTGAACATCGGCCTGTCAATGGGAAGTTGTGAATAAATTCCTTATTCTCCTTCGGTTGCACACACAGCTTTTCTTCACTTATTGAACTGTCTTTATCTCAAGCCACAAATTTTTCTCACTTTTGCTCTTCTGATGCTATCCCCATCCTGTAGGGGTAGGGTGAGTGAGCTGGGTGCTTAGTTGCTGGCTGGGGTCAAACCGTGACGCAAACACTACCTAATACATCAGCAATGCATGTTTAAAATATCTGATTTGCTTGACATAAAAGTGCTCAGTGAGGAATCTTCCTCATTCATATGTACATTTTCTTCCAGCAGAACTATGCCACTTAGTATAAACAGTTATGTATTCAATCCATAAAGATAGACGGACACTTCATGCCAACTGCTAGTGCAGAAGAGTTACTTACAGTGCTTTGGCATGAAGGAAATAGAGCAGAAGACACTACAGCTACAACAGAGCCAATTGTTCTAGAAGCAGAAACATTTAATTCGTTCACAAAATGTAATTCTTGTTCCTCAAACAATGCAAAGCAAATCCCATTCGTATTTCTTTTGCCATAGTTCTAGAGCTTACAAAATATACTCTAGGTATGTCTGCTTATATTTCATGTTTGAGGTGTACAGCATCTGGGAATTCTAGAACTTTCCTTTCTCCTCATGTCTCTGCTATTACAACTTTACTTCTTCAGGTCAAGAAAAACTGGAAAAATGTTTTCTCTGTAGTCTGTCTACGGAAGTATGAACACTGGCCAGAGGAGATGGGTCAAAAGATGGGTCCACTTCCAAAGGCCACAGACTGGCTTGCTTTCAGGCTAGCCTAGCTCTGAGAACTTGAAATCTGAATTTTGATCTCCATGTGACAGTGCTGCATGCTGCCACCGGATTCCTGGGACAGTAAGCTCACATTTCTGAAGATCAAATGCTATTTTCTTTGGAGATTTTTCTACAGCTGGAAAATCTATTTCTGAACTTAATTAATACACTTTTTCCCTCAGTTACTTCCTGTGGGTTTTGAAAGAATATACCATGAAGTTCAGAAAGCGGCAGCAGCTTCTGTGCAACATCTGGTGTCCTTTAATTCAAATATTTATAGAAAGGGTTTAAGCATATACATGCCAATCCGTATGGAATAACCACATTTTTTCCTTATAGCAAAATACTTCTCAAACACTACTCACACTGATAGATAGTAGCCAACAAACATAGAATATGACATTCACATTCTTTAAAATCTCTCATTTTTCTGTTTTTTTGGCACATCCAATGCTCGATTTATTTTTCCTCAAGTGTTTTCCAGTATATAAAACCCTGGCAGAAAGTAAAACTTACCAGAAAAATGTCAACTCTATTTACAGCAAGAACACCCTTTCCCCCTCCTCCTGCCCTCTGTATGTTTAATTATGCAGATACTGAAATTGTACACATTTATTCTCACATGTTCTTGCTACTTCTTGTATTATTACATACTGCTCATTTTTTCATGCAAGAATGTCCTAATACTCTCCATAGGAACATTCTCTCTCATTCCATGTGCAACTGAGGTGCTGCAGAATGAACAAAAGAACTGAGTACTGTATGGTCACACTTTTCAGTGAGAAGTTGTAAGCTACATACAGAACCACCTGAAAGTCACGTCTCCTCAAACTTTTTATCTTGGTAAGTAATGCATTATTTCTGTATATAGAGTTATAGATGTCTATCTATCATCACTGACATGTTTCACTAAATTCCATGTGGACATTTAACTGCATTAACTGCACTGATCTCTATGTTTTCAGATGTCTTAAAATGAGAAGAAACCCAAACTGCAGAAACAAGCATTCTTCAGCCTGAATGGTAGATGTGCACACAGATGTGCACAAACCTCAAAACATAACTTGTCAGTTACAGCATAATAAAGCAGCAGTTGTATAACTCACACATGTGCAAGCACACATGCATGCCCCACATAAGGAAGACAAACTTTGTACAATGTGGGAATGATTGGAAAGAGAATGGACATTACAAGCTTGCTAAGATAAAAACAGATTCACAATGCAAGTTTTGAGATGTGATGAAACTGGGATCAGAAGAAGTATGGAATGGCTCTGAGAGCTGGCAGCCCTGGGTAAAAAAAAAAATCAGGCAAAAGTTGTGCAGGTAGTACCTGCTTCATGTAATGCAGATGATAAAGCAGAGAAGACATTGAACGTCTCAGGGCCTTGCGACAGATGTGATTGCAGGAGCTGAAAGGGATACCTCGTTAGCCTGCTTGAGACAGTAGAGTTTCAGTAAGAATTGAAGGGCAGAAATTTGGGATTAACTCAGGAACATGAAATGAAGACTTCTGACCATATTCTTACTGAATGTTGAAGCCTACTTCTGTTTGTACCCTCTCTGCTATAATGATAATCAATAATAGGAAAGAAAGAGGTCATGCTTCCATTCTTCAATTGCCTTTTGTATGGAAGGGGATTACCGTGCTACAAGTCTCAGCAGAAACAAGGCTGCTACCAGAAAAATATACCACTACAAAGACTACTATTAAAATTTCAGCTGGGACAAAGGACAGTGCTATCAAACTGGTAATGCTTGGTCACTGCATCTGTCACTTCAGATTATCTCTCAGTTATTTAAAATAACGGCATTCAAATGGAGACAGTCAGGAACCCCACTTACAAGTATACAGTACGTGGCAAAAGCTATGACACAAAAAAGTAACCCTGAAGATTGTCATACTCGTTTCTAAACAAACTGGAAGTGTAAGTTAATGTCGAGTGTAACAGCGTAATTTTAAGTAAAAAAAATGGCAAAGATAATGCTAAACCAGGTAAGCATAAAAAAAAAAAATTAAAAAATTTCCAATTCTGGGCCAAAACAAGATGTCATTGCGATACCCTTTGTAGCAGCTTAGGAGGGGAGCTGTCTCTTTAAAAAAAAAAAAAAACCAAGCCAGAAAACCTGTTAATTCACACGTTCTTCCCAGAGCTCTAACTAGTTACAGCTGTCATTCATAAAAGCAGATGTAGTTAATGTGGAGTCACAGGGTGGCTAAAGGTGCCAGATCATGGCTGGTACGTAGCCAAGTCCATCCCATGACCTCATACTGCTTTGGAATACGACCCTTGAGAAAAGTCACTTTCTGACTGTGAAATGCTGTTAGTTCTCCCTCTTCCTTCATGTCTGCGAGACATACAGTATGTGATTCGTGGCCACCAGACATGGTGCAGATTTCAGTATGAGAGGCAGTCGGTTATTGATACCACTCGTGGCAGCACTGCTGTCTCTCAGTTCCTGACAGCAAGAGGTTGTTTGTTGACTGTAGTGCACTGACCACAGCTGGACATAAGGTGGGCACCAAAGCTGCACTATCGCTCTCGTTTCTCAGCTGAATAGAGGCATTCACACTCTTCTGCTGCTTCAGTGCGGGGTCCCTCCCATGGGAGACACTCCTCCACAAGCTTCTCCAGTGTG